TATTATTTTAGTATTATTTTTATTATTATTTTATTATGATTATTAAATTATCCCCCTATTTCTGTATAATAAAGCATCACTTCTTGGGTCCAGGTGAGCCCCACTCTCCCATGGCCAGGAGCCCTCTGAGCCAGGAGCTGGGAGTGATGGGGAGCAGGTTTAGGGCAAATTAAAAGACCAAGAGCCCGGAAAGGAGAGAGGGTGAGAGTCAGGAGGGAGGTGGGAAGTTGCTGGTGAACACATGAGCTGAGTTTTGCCCGGCCTGGGCTTCCCTGCAGTGCGGAACCACGCCAAGGTCAGCCACTTCCGAATCTGCAAGAGCCCCGGGGGCAGCCTCTACATCCAGAAGGGTCATCCCTTCAGGGCAAATTAAAAGACCAAGAGCCCGGAAAGGAGAGAGGGTGAGAGTCAGGAGGGAGGTGGGAAGTTGCTGGTGAACACATGAGCTGAGTTTTGCCCGGCCTGGGCTTCCCTGCAGTGCGGAACCACGCCAAGGTCAGCCACTTCCGAATCTGCAAGAGCCCCGGGGGCAGCCTCTACATCCAGAAGGGTCATCCCTTCCCCGACATGGAGGAGCTCCTGGCCTTCTACACCCAGCACTGGAAGGTCATCCAGAGCCCCCTGCTGCAGCCCTGCAGCCCCGCGGTGCGTACGCCCAGGGCAACGGTGGCCAGGAATGAGAAATGGGGGAAAAATAGAAATAATCCCTCTGTCCTTTGGGGCTTTGAGCTTTATTCAGCTCAATTTAACACCACAGTGTTAGTACAGCTGCCACAGCAGCTTCTATCAGCTGTGGTAAGGCCAGGATGTGGTTTTCTTGGTGGTTTTGGCTGGCCAAAATGCACAGGATTTTCTGCAAGGTCTTCTCCATGTCCAGGGTTAGAAACTGTGTTTTCACACAGCCCTTTAGGACTGAAACACCCACGCTATTTTTTTTTCCTGGAGTATAATAAGACCACGTTGCTTTCGGATGGTTTTTAGGCCAATTAGCGTGGCATTCCTAAACCCAATTATTGTATTAATCCCAAATTGCCAGCTCATTTCCTGATTAGATTCCAGCCACCGGTGATGACTCAGAAATCGCAATTAAACGTGTGAATAATCCGAGGGCGAGACTGAAACGTGTGAGATAAAGGAAACTCTTCATGAGCCCGAGTCTAAATCAGCCATAATATGCCAGAATATTCATTTCTTCATCATTTTTTTATTGGTGGAGATGGAGAAAAGCCACCTGTGAGGTCTGATGAGGAGGGAACTGTGACTTGAATTCTTGATATTTCATGTAGAGCCCCAAATTCTCCTTCCTCCCCCACGTTGGCTCCCAGCAGAGGTGACCCAGGGGATGCCCCATGTGCTTCGGGGAGGGAAAAGCAGCCCCGGTGCCATGCAGGGTGATGGAACACCACCTCCCCCGTGGCCAGAGGGTCTTGGTGGGCACAGGGAGCTGGTGGAGGCTCCAGCAGGAGGTCCTGCCCTGCTGGCTGGTCCAAGTGAGCCCCATGGTCCTTCCACAGACCCCCCCCGAGCGGGACGGCTGGGAGCGCCCGCGCTGGGAGTTCACCCTGCGGAGGAAGCTGGGCGAGGGCTACTTTGGAGAGGTGTGGGAAGGGCTGTGGAGGAACACAGTGCCCGTGGCCATCAAGATCATCAAAGGTAGGTGGAGGAACTGTTCATCGTGGCCAGCTGGGTCTCTCGATCGCTGCCACATCGTCCACCCCATTTTTTCCCCCCCTTAGTTGTCTCGGTCACTGTCTCTGTCTTATCAAAGCAAACTGGGGTAGGACCTGGCAAGCAGACCCTGGACTATTTCTGTGGACCCCCCTAAGCTTGGGCTCCACTGTTGTAAAATGGCTCAATCCAGTGGGTTTGTCGTGTCGAGCCAAATAAATTGGTTCAATCGAGGTAGGTCAAGTCCAATGTGTTGGTGAGGAGTCAAGTGCTGATGGAGCTATGAACAAACAGGCTCCAAAGCCCTGTGAAAAACATCTCTGGGGTGTTCCCATCTGAGACATGAACTTGGGGAGCAAGAGTGGGCTGTGAGGAGGAAAAAAAAGGTCCTCATCCCAGTCGGACCTGCCGAGGTCCCAACGTCCACGTGAGAAAGCAGCTCATGATGGTCATGTTGGCTCCCTCCCCCAGCTGACATGAAGGCAGAAGACTTCACCAAGGAGATCCAGAACCTGAAGCGCCTGAGGCATGAGAAGCTGATCCAGCTGCACGCTGTCTGCTCGCTGGAGGAGCCCGTGTACATCATCACCGAGCTCATGCGGAAGGGCAACCTCCACACCTACCTCAACAGTGAGTACCCGTGCCAGCACCCTGCCACTGCCCCCCTCTGCGGCTGCTTTCGGTGCCCCAGAATGGTCCCATGAACCCAAGCGGGTTCCATAGGTTCTTGGAGACCCTAAGAGAGCTCAACCCTGGTTTTGGTCCTCTTTAGATCAGTGATAATTCAGAGCAACCCATGGGTGCTCGGTGGGGACAGCCTTGGGTGACCCCCGGATAGTTTGGCATGATTCTTTTGGTGGGAGTTGGGCCTCTATCAATCCCTGAGAGCCTCAGCATGTTGGGGGGGACCTTCATCCCTCCCTCTTCATCCTCTCATGGTCACCCAGCTCCCACCAGTGCACAGAAGCCCCACTGCTGCCTTTGGGCAACTCTGCCTCCGTTGCCTCTGCAATGGCCAAACCTCCCCTTGGGCCAGCAGCGTGGTTTTCTTCAGGTGTACACCTCGTGACAAGCCATGGTCCACTCACCACCTGGCCACCAGTTTGTTTTTCTTGGCCTTTCTTTTCCTGACCCAGAAATCAGTCTTGAAGGGAAACAAGACAAACCTACCACCAAGACCTGTTTGTTCACCAAGTAAAGCCCCCTCCTCCCCCACATTTATTTTGGCTGGGGCTGCAGCAGCAGGTTTGGTGCTGGAGGAGCTGGAGCTTGCAGGCAGGACAGGTTGAGAAGCCCAGCTGGAGATTTGCATGGCAGAAGGTCACCTTGGGCTTTGAGTGAGCCGTGGATGTCTGCGTCCTCGTTGCAGCACAGGGCACTCTTCAGAGCTCGCCCCACTCCCATTCCTGAAGATCCCTGAGTCCCATTCCTGAACTTTCCACACAGGACAGTTAGGCAGAACCTCAAATTTGAGGCTTTACACGTTTTATAGCCCCATTTTGTAGGCACAGGGTCTCCTTCCAAACCAGAACATCCAAACTAGAGGTTACTAGACTGCCCCCAACTCTCGGATCGTCTGAGTTAACAGGTCCTTAAGGGAAGTCCTTGGGCACCTCCCACCTTCTGAACATCGCCTGCCAAGTAGCGGATGGGATGAGGTACCTGGAGGAGAAGCACATTGTCCACCGGGATCTGGCAGCCAGAAACATCCTGGTGGGAGAGGAACTCACCTGCAAAATCGCTGATTTTGGACTCGCCCGGCTCCTCAAGGTCGGTCATCGAGCTGCTGTGGTCCCTCCATCACCCCAGGCCACCGAGCTGCCCCCTGCTGTCCTCCTTCCCCCAGCAAAGCCCCCAAAACTCATTACACCCCCCCTGCTGACCCACCTCCCGTTGCTTTCCAGGATGACATCTACTCCACCAGCAGCAGCACCAAGATCCCGGTGAAGTGGACAGCCCCAGAGGCTGCCAACTACCGCACCTACTCCCTCAAGTCCGACGTCTGGTCCTATGGGATTCTGCTCTATGAGGTCTTCACGTATGGCCAGATCCCCTATGAAGGTAGAGCCACCAGCCCCCTCCAGCTCTGCTCCAGCCACATCCTTGGGCAGCTTGCCCGTGGTCCCCAAAAGCCAACCTGCCATGAATTGTTGTCCACAGGGGACACGGAGGCAGGTCCTAGAGCAAGAGCAAGTTGTTGTCCACTTTGGGGGTTGCTTAGAGGGTCTGTCAGTGCTTGCAGAGGTGGGGAAGGAGCTGGGGGCAGGAAGGTGCTATGGGCTGGGTGATCCCCTGCAGACCTTCCTCTACCAGCCTCATAGCCTTGAGACATCATTCTGCAGCAGAACTTCTCGATACCTTGGCCCAGGGCAGGTGTACCTTCAGGTCATCCTTTGGGGACATCACATTCAGGGGGCATCTTCTCCTTCCTTGCAGGAATGACAAACCAAGAAACCGTGAGGCAAATCACCAGGGGCTACCGCCTTCCCCGGCCCAGCTCCTGCCCTCCTGAGATCTACAGCATCATGCTGGAGTGCTGGAGTGGCAACACGGAGGAGCGTCCCACCTTCCTGGCCCTGAGGGAGAAGCTGGGCTTCATCTACAGACGCCTGCTCAGCTCCCTTTCCTGAGGGACCCCTTCCCACCAGCCTTCCTCCACAAGCCCCTCCAGGCCAGCTCTGGCCAAGAAGCTCCTTCCTTCTGGTTTGCCCTCTGACAGGGCTCCAAGGAAGGCACAACCCCCCCCAAAAACCAGCTCGTGGTCCCTCCTGGTTGGGATGGAGGGAGGTGGCTGAGGGCAAAGGCAACGAGCTTTGTGGAGGACTCATTGCCAACGCCTGGCCTGTGTAGCCCTCTGGAAAAGCCCCGTGGTAGTGAAGGCATCACCCAGAGTTTACATCTCCATTCAGCCAGTGGGGTGGGAGGTCCCCGCCGCTCCCCACGCCAACGTTGAAGGTTTGCAGCTCGTGTTCAGTCGTGGCTCTGCTTGATTTTTTTTTTCTTGTAGTGTGTGTCCAGTGTGTTTATCAATAAACGTGTGTGCATCCAGCCAGGGGAGTCCTCCTGGGGCTTGGCTGGGGGCTGAGCCCCTCCCTGCCCAGGAAGCAACGGTGTGCAACCAGGCCTGCTCTTCCAACCACAGGCAGGACCATCTTCCAACCACAGCCACAAAACCATCTTCCAACCACAGCTACAACCATCTTCGTGTCTCCTTCATCTAGGGGTGCGTTAAACCTTCGTGTGTCTCGGCCACCCCTTCCCCAGGCAGCAGCCCAGCTTGCCCCAAGGACCTCAGCACGAGGACATGGACCTGTTGGAGGAGGTCCAGAGGAGGCCACAACAATGATCTGAGGGCTGGAGCCCCTCTGCTGGGAGTCCAGGCTGAAAGAGTTGGGTTTGTTCAGCCTGCAGAGGAGGAGGCTCCAGGGAGACCTTCTGGTGGCCTTTCAGTGCTTCAAGGGGCCTGTCAGAAAGCTGGGGACAGAATTTAGAGCAGAGTCTGTTAGGACAGGACAAGGGGGATGTTTTTAAACTAAAAAGAGGAGAGATTTGGACTAGAGAGAAGGAAGAAAATATTTTATGATGATGGTGACCCAGGTTGCCCAGAGAGGTGGTCGCTGCCCCATCCCTGGAACCATCCCAGGGGAGGTTGGCCGGGGCTCTGAGCACCCTGCTCTAGCTGGGGATGTCCCTGCTCCCTGCAGGGGGTTGGACCAGATGACCTTGGATGGTCTCCTCCCACCCAAACCAGTCCATGATTCTATGCCCCTGCCCAGGCAGCTCCACTCTGGCTCCTTCTCTTGCTCAGCATCTTGTGGTTATGCCACGAAAAATCCGTGTCTGGTCTCACACATCTCACACCAGCTCAGCCCAGGTTCAGGCAGTGGGTGACACGCTGCTGCACCCCATCCTGCTCTTCACCACACCCACGGTGCAAAGCCACCACCCCCAGCTCCCCCCTGGGGCTGGAGCACCCCAACACGGGAGGACCTTGAGCCTCTTGTACCCCTCCAAGCTGGGGGAACCATTTGCTCCAACCAAGTATCTTCCCCCGCCCCCCTCCTCCCCGTGTGTACTCTGGGAGCTGGGTTGTCCTTGGCAGCCGTGGGAGGACTCTGGAGAGCAGCACCAGGAGCAGTGCCAAAGCCTCCCTGGGGCACCTCCTGGGGCTGCTGGGGCACCCACAGGCCCAGGGCACCCGCTGGCACAACGTGTGGTGGGTGAAGGGCAGCCTGGCTTCAGTCTCCTGCTGAGGAGCCCCTCTGGGGGTCCCCAGGAGGAGGTGACTGGTGGGACTGAAGCAGGGCTGGGAGAGAGGAGGTTAATGAAGTTTGTGCCATGGTCTCCACGCCTGGGTAAGGCAGCAGAAAGAAACCTGGCAGCTCCCTGAGCAAGTCTCTGCATGAGGGCCCTGGAAAGGGGTGGTGGGACCCCACTGGAGGGGTGTGGGGACCTCTGAGCCATCCAGGCTTCCTCTGAAGCTCCAGCAAGGGCGAGGTGGTTGCTGAGCCCTCCTGTGCCCAGCACAGGCACAGCTCCAGGTGAGGCTGTTCACAGCTGGAAAAAAGCAACAGGTTGGGTTGGGACGTGGTTGCAAGAGGCAAAAAGACTCATCTTGGAAAAGCATTTCAGAGCCTGCTGGAAGCCCTGAGCAGAGAGCATGGGTGGAGAAACACAGAAGCCTTTTGGGTGGAAGAGAACTTGAAGCTCATGGAGTCCAACCCTTCCCCCAGCACTGCCAGGTCCCCACTGCCCCGTGTCCCTCACACCACATCTCCACGGCTTGGGAACCCCTCCAGGGATGTGGTGTGCACAGCTCAAGCCCCTTTCTACAAGAGCCCAAGACCAGAGCCGTGCCCAGCAGGCGAGGGGTTGGTGCCACACCAGGGAAGCAGAGCTGGGACCCGGCGCGGGGTTGTTGCAGCAATAAAGATGAAGTTTGCAGGTCTGGTTGCCACCAGATGGAGCTAAAAAATCCAAAAAGAAGTAGGAGGGGAAGGGTGGGTGGGGGCGGGATGTGCACGGCTGGGGTGGGTGGTGTGGAGGAGGGACCTGGGACGTGGCACTGCCCACAGCAGCTTTGCCCTCCTCCATCCTCAGCCTTGGCTCTGCTGGGTTCCGGCCTCTCTCTGCAGGGTTGCTTGCTCTCTAGAAGCAGCCAGAGCTGGTGGGGGGGGAGCCCAGACCTTCCCACCTCCTCCCAGGCTCTCAGCCTTGCCAGGGAGCTGCAGCTCCCACCACCAAATCAGACTGAGCTCATCCTGAACTCCACCCCATGGATGCAGAGCTGCTGGGGATGGTCCTTCCCAAACCCACCCAGCCCAAACCACCACCACTGCTGGTGTGGGAGGCATCCTGCTCTGGTCCCAGCCTGGCACGTGCCCCTTTGTGGGGACAACTTGACCCAGTGGAAACCCAGCCCCAGGTAAAAGTGACCTGCCCAAGCTGCACAATTCCTATTTTGAAGGTCCCACGTTGGCTTTTGAAGAGCAAGGGGGAAGCCAAGCTGCTGGAGGGCTAAAAAACCCAATTCCCCCAGCAGCCCAAGGCTGGCAGTGAAAGGAAACGTTTGTTGCCAGAGCTCCTCGGGGGTGGCACAGGGCTGAGAGCGAGCACAGGGTTTTATTTTTGCCCAAATCTGTGAGTTAATCAACAGTCAAAGCTCAGCGAGTTGGCACTGGGGGGCTGGGGACATGGGGGTGGGTGTTTGCCCCACTGACAGGGACCCCAGTGGGAAGAGGGGTGCTTAGGGAGGGGGATGGTGCAGAACAGCCCCTTTGTCTGGTTTCTGCTGCCCAAGGAACCCCTCACTGTCCTACCACAGCAGGGACCATGATGACCTGAGACACGGGCAACCAGCTGGAACCACAGAAGCGTTTGGGTTGGAGGAGAGATTTCAGATCATGGAGTCCAACCCCAGCACTGCCAGGTCCCCACTGCCCCGTGTCCCTCACACCACATCTCCACGGCTTGGGAACCCCTCCAGGGGTGGGGACTCCACCACTGCCCTGGGCAGCCTGGCACAGCCCTGGGCAACCCTCCAGGGCAAGAAATTGTTCCTCAGGGACAACCTCAACCTCCCCTGGGGCAATTTGAGGCCACTTCATTTTATCCTGTCCCTTGTTCCTTGGGAGCAGAGCCCGACCCTGCAGCCGTGGGGATGGAAACAGCACAAACAGAAACGTGCTTGGCTGGCAGATGCTTTTCCTAAAATAGCCCTGAGTGCTGCAAAGGGGCAAGAAAGTCCCTAAAAGCACCGGGCACCCCAAGCCACCAACGTGCTGCCAAGGTCTTTGCTCTCAGCAATGCAACAGAGGGTGGGAGCTGAGCTCTCTGTGATTTTTTCACCCCCAGCAGAGCAGGAGCATCAATATGCTGCTGGCATCACAGCAGGAGGCTGGAAAAACCTGAGCAGGGAGGGCAGCAGGGATGCAGGATTGGTGCCTTTGCTCTGCCACAGCCCCTCCCAGCTGTCTGGGGACAGTTCCTGGCTTTGACCCTTCACAATCAGGAGACCAACAAGCAAACAGGGCAATATTGACTCGACCTTTGTGTGTCCCCACTTCAACCTGCAGCCCCTGAGGGGGCAGGCTGGGGAAAAAAACATTTCTCTCTCCAAAACTGGAAGTTCCTTCTTGGAAGCAGCAGATGAGACCCAGCAGCCAAAGGGGTTTATTGGGGCATGGGAAGACTCTGGGGCAGTGCTTAGTGCCCCAGCCACCCTTCTCAGGTCACCATACCCTGTGTCTTACTCAAAAATTATATGTTTGTGGTTTTTTTTACTTGATTTTCCTGTGTTTTGTGAAGTTTCAAGGCTGCCACGAGCCCCCTGTGAGGGGCAGCCCCCCAGGAGCCCCCAGCACCACTGGCTAGAAGTCACACCAGATCTGTGGTAGGGTGATGGCCATGGACATCACCTGCAGGGTGCTGGCAGCCTCACAGGGTCCCAACTATGTGCCCAAGGCTGGTGGCCCTGAGAAACCCCCCCCGAGCCCTTCTCACACACCCAGAAGGGGAGCAGAGCCCCCCCGTGCTGCCCTGGCCCCCTCCTGGGGATGGAGGACGGGGCACAGGGACACAGACCCCCTGCCCTGAGGACAAAAAAGAGCTGCCTGGAGACACAGAGCTGAGGGCAGAGCTTACACAGCACTTCTCCCTCCCAGAAACAAGCACCCAAGTTGGAAGTGACCCCGGATGCCCCTGCAGCATGGACAGAAAGCAGCTCAGCTGC